GTGTGGAACAGCTGTTCACCGATTGTCTGTTAGGCTGTGAATACGTGGGCCGTCGCGTGGATACCGGCGAACGTGTTATGGGTATTGATTTGGGGCGCGCTTTCGCCACGTCTATCAATGCCCGCACCCATAGTATGACTACCGTTCCCGAGCACTGGTCGATGTTGGAGTCGGCGACTATACTCAGCACTTATAGTGTCCTGTATTATGCCTTAATTAAACGTGCTCAATTGAAACCAGGTTAAATACATAGCTAGTTCATTCATAAAAGTAATATTTGTTTGATTTTTAGGCGAAAGTATATTAATTCATTCGGCGGCGGGAGGTGTGGGACAGTCGGCCATAAATATGTGTCAACACTACGGCTGCGATATCTATGTGACGGTTGGCACGGAAGAGAAAAAGGAGTTCCTTATGAATAAGTATAACATACCGGAGAACCGGATATTCAGTTCAAGGGGTACGCGATTCAAGTATGGGATCAAAGAGGCGACGAAAGGCAAGGGCGTCGACATTGTCCTCAACTCCCTGTCCGGCGAGAGACTGGACGCCGGCTACGAGTGTGTGGCCAATAGGGGTCGGTTCGTAGAGATCGGCAAATATGATATGTTTCATAACAGAAAGATAGGTATGTATGACCTGCTAAGGGACATACAGTTTATAGGAGTAGCCGTTGATGTGGTGTTTATGGAGGACTTCGAGTTCTTCGGCCACTTCTTCGAGTGGTTGCACAACAACTGCACCAATGGTTGTGTGAAACCAATTAATTACACCATATTTGGGGCCAAAGAGGCCGATAAGGCGTTTCGTTATATGACAACCGGTAAACACATCGGGAAAGTAGTCATCAAAATGAGGGACGAAGAGAGCACGAGAGGGCCGTTGAGACACATAATAACGGCGCTGCCTCTCAGGGCTACTGTTAAGACGTTTTTCAATCCAAACAAAGTCTATATAATAACCGGAGGTTTGGGTGGTTTTGGACTCGAGTTGATTCCATGGATGCAATACTTCGGCGCCAGAAAATTTGTGGTCACTTCCAGGTCTGGGATTAAAACAAATCGTCAAAAGTTTGTTTTGAATCGTTTGCAAGAGTTTTACAAAAAATTCAAATACTTTTCGTGCGATTTATTGGTTTCGACGGCCAATGGGTTGACACCCGAAGGCTCTCAACAACTGGTAAATGAGGCGAAAGGGTTGGCAACCATTGGAGGGGTATTTCATTTGGCACTTGAATTGAATGATTGCTTATTAGAGAACATGGAGTTTGAAAAGTTCTGTTCAACTGNGACACAAAACATAAGATATTCTCAAACTTGGATCAAATCACACGAAGACTTGACTATAAATTGGATTATTTCGTAGTCTTTTCATCGATAGCTTGTGGTAAAGGAAATGGAGGTCAGAGTAACTACTCGTTTGGGAACTCTCTGTGCGAACGGATTTGCGAAGAGAGACGAAGGGATGGTCTGAACGGACTGGCCGTACAGTACGGACCCATCGGTGATGTGGGAGTACTCGAGGGTACGGATCAAGTGATCGGATTTATAGCAATGAGGAAACAACGGATCCACTCGTGTTGCGATGTTTTGGATAAATTGTTGACAATTAGTGAACCCATAGTTACCTCTTATGTAAATATAATACAGAATTGTGTTTCGGATATAACACGAGAATCTGGACAAAAATATAAATTATTTAAAATTATAATTATGATACAGATCATTATGGACCAAATCAGACAGACTACCGGCACCCGCGAGACTCGATTAGTGAGCGAGCTCTGGCGTATGTTAGGCATAGACCCTGGTGTCACCCCAAACCACGTGACTTTGGGTGAGTTAGGCCTGGAGTCGATGTATGCCCTGGAATTGCAACAAGAATTTCAGAGGCAATGGAATATCAATGTAACCCTCAATCACATCAAAACCATTACGATCGGCATGTTTAAGGACTACGAAGTGGGTACCGGTGCCAGCATACGCAAGCACCTGGATGACCTGAAAAAGGCCCGTAGTGCCATGCTCAAGCACAAGTTTATTATACCCACCGATAAGTTTGTCCGACTTAACGGTGTAATCACTGGACGACCCGTTTATTTGATGCCAACTCTGTTCGTAAGTTTTTCGCTGTTTGACGAGTTGGCCCATCGGTTGAACCGACCGGTGATTGGCCTGAACTGGACCCGGGAGGTGAGCAAACTGAGCACGCTCAAACAGGTCAGCGCCTACTACGTGAACCTACTGAAAGACCTGGCACCTAATGGCCACTACGATGTGGTCGGCTATTTCGATACGATTATAGTGTGCACTAAACTCTTGCTGAAAGGGCTGACCGATAGGGCGGTGATTGTGGACGTCGTCAGTGATGACCGCTTTCTGGAGCAACGCGTGACCGACGACTATATGTTGGATCTGATGCTCACAATCATCTCCAACGAGATCCCGGCCGCCATTCACGAGCGCATTGTGCGACAAATGCGAGCGGAAAGGGATGTCAAACAAAAGATCGCTATCATTGTGACGGAGGTGTCGGAGCTGATTGGCAAAGGACTGGTAGCCATGGATATGGAGGAGATATTTACGGTAATGTTTGCCAGAATTCGTATGCTTTTGGAGTATAGGATGAAAATGCGGACAAAACTGTTGAATAAACTCAAACTACGGCTCATTAGCCGGAAATGGGCTAAACTGACGGGCAAACTGGTGGTCATTAAGCCGGTTATGTTTGAGAAGGTGTTGACCACCGATGAGTTTATTAATAAATCGTTTGGCGGCTATTTCTTACCCCGATCAAATGTATGTTACGTAGCATTTTATTAAATAATACAATTAATTAATTAATACATATATTTTTATCAATGCCCCAAGGTGCAAAATAATAATATTAGCTATGAACATGTGAATGGCAAAAGTGAAATGGATATCATGAGCAAGGAGGTATTTGATAAGATTGGAGATGCGCTTAAATAAGAAATTTTAAAAGTAAAAGTATAATGAATAAATACTTAAAATTTCTGAATATTGTATTTTTAAAGTTTCCACTTGTACTAGACATTATCAAATATATTTTATATTTTTAATTTTTAATATCATTCATTTCAAGAATTTTATATTTAGATTACTATTAATAGTAATATTCTTTCAAATCTTTTGTATTTCTATTCATTTCTATTTATGGGGAGCTCTAGTGGCTCAGCGGTCTAACAGATAGGCTGTCCTAAAGGGCGTAGACTCGCAGAGTGTGCATCACTAGAGGAGGTCTGGTGACGAGCCCAGGGGTCAGAGCTAAGGCTTTCTCCAAATGCATTGTGCAATCACTTCACACACAGAGTTCGGTAGTTTCCTCCCGGGTCTCGGGTTTCCTCTACCATCCGATAAGTGACTCAATAATAACGTCAGTTAGGCTCACCCTTAGCCCTGTCCCACACAGTTGAGGCCGTATACAGCCCATGATGTGTACACTTCCCCCACTATCCCCCCCTATATGTAACACCTATACGAGCGCGTCATCGATAGAGTGTCTAATTATACAAAACGTTATTATTATTATTATAATTAAATAATATCCGGTTCAGTTAAAAATAAAATACTGCAAGTTTAATACTGTAGTTGATACAAGTATGTAAGTTCTCTAAAAATAGATTGTAGAGTTCATTACATTATATTTTATTTTAAACATATTACTATTATCAAATAAATAATTAATTTGTAGCATTATTTAATGTTTAATAATTTCAATTCAAACTGTATAGAATCGATAAACTAATAAATGTCATTTATTGCTCATTCATAAGAGCTGCTTATTTAATAACAGTAAACAATAAAAACTGCATGTGACAAATGTGCTTTATTAATTATTTAAGCATTCATGTGCTTATTTGTAATAAATTATTTTTACCCAAAGCATAACGAAGATTTATTTTTATAAACACATTAATATCAATAAATTATAACTAATCTGTGTAGAGTAGTGTATACTGTAAGTTATAGTACTTTACCAGTATTTGTACAATCAAATATACAGTATGTTATTTTATTTATAAAAATATTTCATAAAAATTACCTACTTAAAACAATAAGTTTTCTAAAATGAGAGCTAATTTAAATGGTAATCAATTAATTGTAGCGCTAAATGAGGTAATTTTTTAATTTAATTATATTTAGTTACATAATTTTAAGGTTATAAATTATATGAACACATAATAATTATTTTATACTAATTATACTAATTTTAACAATAAACTTTTTAATTTAAATCTGATAAATGATGCTTGATCACAATGAATAGCAACCACCTTTCATATATGGTTTGCGTGAATACAATCAAAATAAAAGCAAAACCATCGGTGTATACTAATTTTAACAATAAACTTTTTAATTTAAATCTGATAAATGATGCTTGATCACAATGAATAGCAACCACCTTTCATATATGGTTTGCGTGAATACAATCAAAATAAAAGCAAAACCATCGGTGGGTTTGAAGCAAAACTATTGCAAACATTGAGTGAATGTTTGAATTTCACATACGATTTATTGGATTGCAATGACAAATGGGGCCATAAATTGGCTGATAATAGTTGGGACGGTGTGGTCGGTGCTATACATCAAAATGTAATCATTGATACTATTTATTTGTATTTAATAATTAATTTTATTACATTTTAAATATCATAAGAAATCCGATCTGGGAATCGGTTCAATCACTATATTGTCGCAGCGTTTAGAAGCCATACTAAAGCGAATAGGAGTAACATAGTGAAGTAAGTGTAAGTGCCGTGGCCATAGACTCTCCTTTGACATAAGTAGTAGTGATAATCGTGGGTACCTATCGTGGCAAACCTATGATCATAACACGAGCCTAATCTTTTTATACTTCATAAATACTATCATTAATTATAAGTTATACAAAAGTTTCAAAATTAGCTCCGGTTTCGTAGCAATACTACTCAATCAACCCATAAGTGAGACCTCATCGCAAATATCGAGAAAATTATTGATTATTTGTTGGCTTTTATCGACGATTATATTGAGACAACTTTATGGAGGGGGTCTGTACGCCGGGATGTCGGTGCCCTCAAGAGCTCATAATATTCAGACAATTGATGAGTTACTTATGGCTCAAAGCTCGGGTAGAATTAAGTATATATTCGCTGAGGGGTCGGCATTATTGACACCTTTCATTCAAATACAGGTAATGTTGGATAAAATAAATGTTTATAATTATAACATTTATTTAATTACAGAAATCCCGTATAAATGACGGGAAAGATGTAAACGGATCGGTATTTTACGCCAAAAATCATGAAATGGCTTTTGATGTGTTGACGCGTTTTCCCACAAAATATGTTTTACTACTCGAGAGACATCTCATTGAATACCAGATCCGCAAAACACGAGTCAATTATTATTTACCGCCGATTTCAATGGACACAAACATTTTTAACGATATCGTTGGCGTTGCTGTGAATAAAAACTTTCCTTTTATTAGAGATATTAATCAAATGTAAGAAATCTTTATTGAGTTAAAAATATGTTTTTTAACTGTTTTGTCAGTATTTCAGATATAATAAGCGCTGGACTTATAGACTACTGGAAACAAGAGTTTTATTTAAAAGTTGTTAAAAGATATTCAAATCTAAATCAAAATAATGATAATCAATACATTGAGAGTGCATTGAATTTACATCAAGTGAACAGTGTATTCAACATTTGTTTTTATGGATTTCTCATAACATTAATTATTTTATTTTTTGAATTGATTATATTTTATATAAAATTACAATTTTATCATTAGAAGATTTAAAATATTTAATACATCTAAAACATTTAATTAAAATATTACTTTTGGAAATATGCCATGATAATTACATATTATTTAATTGTCATGATTTTGTTACAATTTTTAAAAACCCTTTTCCCAACACGGTGTCTAATGTTTAAACAAAAATTATTAATTATATAATGATGATGGTGATTAAATTTAGCAAAAATATTGTTTACATAGTTTTGAGATTTAAACCTGGTTAATAATATTTGAGTGAATTCTGTGAAAATAATAGAAAATCCAAACCATAGGCTAATAATACTTGCAGTGAGACTCAGGTACTCTTAGCAAAAATATTGTTTACATAGTTTTGAGATTTAAACCTGGTTAATAATATTTGAGTGAATTCTGTGAAAATAATAGAAAATCCAAACCATAGGCTAATAATACTTGCAGACTCTGAGTCCATGAGGAGCTTTCTGTAAAAGTTACTGTAGAGCATATATTGACAACCCTTAAATCCCTTGAGATACAATTCGGTTACCCGAGAATAACTTTATAATGATTGTTGACCAAGTAGTTATGAATAATAATGATTTTCTAAACATTTATCAAGCTCACTACAAGTTTTCTTACATTTTTCAAATATTTTATATAAGTCCTCAATTTGAACATAGCTATCATTTGAATATCTATAATATTTGTTGTATATATCTTGATAAAATAACAATCTTGAATTTACATTAATGTTATGTTTGTATTCATATTTATGATAACAATTTATAAAACACTGTTGATAAACCTTTATTATTAATATTTGTGCAGGGTTTATTAGATTCACCATAATTATTTATGACAATTGCTTGCTTAAAGCTTAATCGTGTTTCAGTTTCATTTTGTATTATAAATTTAATATAAGCAATATTGACACCATCATTTACTATATAAGGATTAGGCTCACTTGTTAATGTTCGCGATTGTGGATGCATAATAAAATATATATTACCAACCAGGAACCTAATTTGAAGTTTACAACTTTTAACCATGGCTCGCTTATTTGTACCAGAATATTGCTTAATGAACCCTAATGGGTTTAGCGTAAAACATCTATTAACGTAGTGTACCTTAAATTTGAGAGTAACTTCTTGCTTTAAAAACTGTAACTTATAATAATAATAAAATATTAAAAATCAAATCATTTTAAAGCTTTGTTTTGAGACAGTAAATTAAAAAAGAAATGATTTCAATTGAATTTGTATTCAATAAATTATGACTAATAAACGAGAGGTAGTCCTGATATGGGGTTTGCGAGAGTTTCCCATTGAATACCATACTGCATTGACCCGGATCTTTTTGGGTGCCAACTCCACTGCCATACATTTAGTGAACATATTAATGGCACACTTTGACATACTTACAGGTGATATACCTATACCCTGAAACTAAAATTAGCAACTAAAATACAAAATAATACGCTTGGTCACTCTACATACTAATACCAGTATAATAATGATTATATTATTATAAAAGTTATTTAATATTCAAACAAAATAACAACTTTATTATCTAATATTATATAAACTTAGTTTTAAACATAAAATATTAAATTTTTTATAAGATGTCTATAAGTTATAACTTTAAGGAAAAGGTAG